TGGTTCTTCTAATAATGCTCTTTTTTTTTGTTTTAGAGTGTATATATTTGCAGTTATAGTGAGATGGTTTTTCTGTTCACTAAGCTGTGTTTCCTGAAATAGATTTTTTGTTCACTAAACAGTTTTTCTTGAAATACTTTTTTGTATTTTCCAGGCAATGTTATTGGAATGCATTAGAAGATGGAGCAGCTTGGATGGAAGAAAAATCTGAAAATAAAGTTGTGGTATAACAACCATTTTTTTTTTAACATTTACCTGCCAAAAGCCAAGTGTGTCAATTTTTCCTTAGTTGTTTATAACTAATGCCATATTCTTCTCTCAGCTCTATAACTTTTACAAACCTTGACAAACAAGTCTTAAACTATATTAAGTCTAGTGCAGTACTTCCATAGACATGGTTAATATACAGTATCTCATATAAGGAGGTCCCACATTTGCCTTTAATGTTTAGTTTTTTGGGTCTTTTGACAATGAAAAGTTAAACTCTTTTAAGTTGCAATGATCTTTAGCTTAATTTTTTAACAAGGTTAGGTAAATTAAATTTTAATTATCTAAATTTTTTTTTAAACAAAAGTTATCAATCTCGACAATATTTATTATAACTACTTGACAGTAAACATAATTAATATAACTACTTGAAATTAGTTAAATAATAATTAAACTTGATAATTATTTAAGAATTTAGCTTAAAAAACCTTGACGATTTTTTTAAACTTTAATGACTAATGCTTTGGATGATATTTCTTGATTATTTTTCTTTGAAATGTTTTCACTTTGAAAAACATTTCAAATGTTCTAATTGAATATTTGTTGCTTGTGGCTAAAATATTTCCACATAAAATTTAACAGGCGATTATTATGAGACACTTAATGTTGAAAAATGTAAGAGTTATTATGTTTGATGTGTTCTAATATGTTTTATTTGTTTAACTAACATACACTTAAATGGTATGCACAAATACTGTATAAATAATATTTATTAAGATAAACTACAATTTTTTTAATGGCGGCGATGTTTTTTTACATTTTTAGAGAACAAAAAATATGAACTATGCGCTTCAAAAACATATGAACTATGTTCATATGTTTTTTATCTGCAGATCAGGGATCTGCAGATAAAAACCTAAAAATATAGGAATTTTTAAAAAATGCACAATAAGACATGACTATAAAAAAATTAAATAAAAAAGTTGCCTGTTTTTGCTCTTTTTCTGCATATAGTAAATTTTGTATTTCTTTTTTACTATTATTTTTTCATTTTTCAACTTTTTTTTTTTGCTTTTAAATTTCTATTTTATTTAGAGTAATTATTTTTTCCAGTTTATTTTTTAATTTAATCTTTTTATTTATATAAATTGTTTGACCTTGTCTTTACTTTGTTATTGTTGTTTTTTTTTATCTTCTATTTTTAAAATATTATCTGATTTTTCTTCATTTGATTTTCATTTTCTTTATTTTTTTTCCAATCTCTTCTTATTTTTTTTACTGTTAAAAACTCCTCTTTTACAATTTTGAATCATTTTACAAAGCCGAATCATAATACAGTTTACAATGCAAAACGAATCCTCATTGTTTTAATAAATGTTTGCTTTCTTTTAGATAACACCCTAACATATTTAGTAAGGTGGTTTTTTAGTAAAGAAGAAAACCTATAATACTTTAATTTGGAAGAGTTATTTATATGGCGAGTTGTTATTCTTTATTACTTATTAATTTTTAATTAAGTAACATTCACAAAACGTTATTGAATTGTTTTCCTATATACTTTTAACTAGTTTTCTGCACACTTTAAACAGGTTTGAGAAGTTATGTTACTGAAGAGTCTGATGTGGAATATCCTGTTTCAGAGTATTATAAAAAGGCTACTTTTTCAGTTAAGTAAATTAAAAGTAGCTAAAATATGGAAATTTAAAGCTGAAAAAAAAAAGATGTTAGGTGTAATGGAAAGATGTAAACACCTCTAGAATAACAAAAATTGTAAACTTTAGCATGATGTTATAAGTGCAGATATCATAATTAAAGCTTTTATTACAATTATCAATTCAGTTATTATTTACTTTGTAAAAAGTATCACTTTTTTGCAATTTAGAGGAATAAATTGCTTTATTCAATCACATATGCACCGATTTGGAGTAATGGACAAAAAAAAACCATGCTGTATACATGCTGCATACATACTGTATGCATGTTGTATACATGCTGTAGACATGCTGCAATATTGCAGAAGTTAAAGCTTATGCTTTGTGCAGTTGATATATACAAAAAACTAAAAACAATATTTGTAGAATAGAATTAGGAAAATACATGATCCATGGAAGCAGTTGCATCATTTCAGAATGTTTTAAGTTATATAACTGAAAACTTGACTGAAAACCTATTAAAAAGTTATATAACTGAAAACCTAAATTAAAAATTACCATAAAAAAAGTATCATGTATTTGTTTGAAATCTTTACCCCTAAATAAAATTATTTTTTAAATTGATTTTTATGTCTAGTTTTACTTTTTGATTAGAACAATTTTGAACGTTTGATTTTTTTTTTTTTTTTTCGTGATGTCAATGATGTTTTTTTTATAATGTGTAATGTCTTTTTTGTTACTTTTGTTACAGCTGCTAACAAAACGTATTAATTTAATAATAATAAGATTAGATTTTAGATTAATTTCTTGGTATTTTGTACTTCCTCTTATTTCTCTGACAATGTTTTTGAACTTCCTCCTGTCATATTTTTCTGACTTTGCACTTAAATGTTTTCTGTTAAAAAAGGTCTGTAAAAAATCAAAAATAAAAATTATATCTTTTAATAAAATTTTAATCATAATAATTAAAAAAATATTGTTTATCATATGAAAATGTGAATTATGGGTAATTTTTGTCAATAACATTCAATAAATATATCGAACTGTTATATTTGAAAAACTTTTTAATGGTTTTTCTTATTTAAATCAAGTATAGAAAATTTATATAAATTATAATTAAATTATTATATGAATATAAGATTTAAATCAGACAACCCTGACCACTATTTGTTTTTTCATCTCCACTCCCAACAAGGCTTTAAGCAACCACTATTAGAGTTGAAAGTGACTAGAAGAGAAAAGATGAAGTTTATAAAGCCAGATCACGATAATTAATTACAATTAATTCAAGATTAAGATTGCAAATTATATGAAACAGGAAAACACAATGAAGGAGTGAATTCCAATAAACTGATGTTTGAGATAATTAAAATAGACAAATAAGAATTTTTGAAGCACTTAGGAACAATCACAAAAAAAGGATGAGGCTTATTCGAATAACAAGTAACTAGAGAATGAATTTTAGTAAACAGCGCAAGAAATGCTAGATCTTTAGAGCAGCGCCCATTATAGTATTTAGCGCCCATTATAGTATTGAAGATCTGCTCCATATATGACAACAATATTTCATACAAGGACAGATTTGATATTTAAAGGGATAATACTAATATTATATACAAATATAGTGATCTCTATATACTTATATAGTAATGTAGTGATCTCTATATACTAATATAGAAACAATTATTGAGAGAATAGAAAGTAAAGTGTAAGAAAGTGGCAAGCACAAGAAAAAGATGCAACCTTAGCTGATGCTAGTTTTGAAATGGAATAAATATTTGGTTTCCAAGATATCGTATTAGTGTAAATATTGTTAAGCTTTTCATGTAAATATAAATATGTTTTATATGTAAAATATATAAATAATGATTAGCACAAATATTATAAATAAAATTTCTGTTTGTTTTAAGTATAATCTTTTAACACAAAAAAAAGTTAATAGACACTCTTCGACCTTTAAAAAATTTTAAATTTTGCGACATATCATATCAGACCTTTTGAATAATATTTAATTTAAAAAAACTGTTAAGAAAGTTTCAAATAAAAAAAATCGATAAAAGTCTTGAAGAAATAATATTGATCTCCACTAGAAGCTTATTGGAATTCTTTTCAAAACAAGAAGTATATTAATTAAGCAAATATCAATTATCAAAATTTAATCGTTTATGCAAAGAGTGTCAAAGAGTTATACAAAATGTGTAATGAAGCAAATATGTGTCATATAGCAAATACTATATTGGAAAGCATTGATAAAAGAAAATTTTAATTTTTCAACAAGGAGCAGGTAGCTTTTGCATTTAAAGTATGCTCGGGTTAGAAAAACAGGATATTCAATGTGTATCAACTTAATGTTTTTAATATTGTTATGTTTTATAATCAGCGGTATTATCAGTGTTTTTTTATCGGAGTATAGTTAGTGTTTTTTGTTTGGATATAATTCGGCTATAATCACTTGAACAAAATATTATTAGAAAATTTTTATTTTTTCAAAAAAACTTGAATAAACAAAATTTTGAGATAAATAATTTATTGATCTTTTAATTGTTTTTCTATATTTTTTTTATTTAACAATTTATTTTATTAGGTTTTCAAAATTTTAAATATTGGATTGTTATTTGTTCACTATAAAAATGGTAATTTTATTTAAACTAACCATATTGTAAAGGGCTTCTTGATAAGATTTTCATATTCATCTTAAAGTTATGAATTCACAATTGTAAGATCTGGTTATTGTAAGTATTTTTAAATGAAAAAAATTTATAATTTTAAGGGGAAAACAAAGTGTAAGCATGTGTAACTCAAATTTCTAAACCAATAAATTTGCCCCATTTCTGTAGGTGTATTTATAATATTTATTAGTATTTTTTTTTATATTGCAGGTGTAGCTTTTGTGTGAATTCTGTATTATTAACTGCTGTTTCATAAACAAACTTATATCTAGATATTTGATACATCAAACACAACAAGAAGCCGAAGAGAGTTAGTGTATTCGTTGAACGTAGTGCATTGAACGTAGCATTAAAGTAATCCATAATTTTCATTTTTTATATGTTTTAAGAAAATCATTTTTATCTTAGATATTAAGAAAGTTATTATTTTTCTTTTTCAGCCATTTTTCATTGAATCTGTTTTCAATTAATAAAGATATTATTGATAGTTTTGTGAAGGTTAAACTTTATATACATTTTTCATATATGTATATATATATATATATATAAATATATATATATATATATATATATATATATATATATATATATATATATATATATATATATATATATATATATATATATATATATATATATATATATATATATATATATATATATATATATATATATATATATATATATATATATATATATATATATATATATATATATATATCACTGTTGTAAACAATGACCAAAAACTACATTGAGCTGACCCGAGAAAACCGCTTTGACAGGGTGAAACTTTAATGTTTCCTGACTCCAAAATTGTAAAACTTGAAATCCAACTATTTCGTCCAAGAAAATAATTTTGATTTTTAGTTTTTAGTACTTTGCACAATAGGGTAAAATGACAGCTTTTCAAATTTTGCATTTTTACAGCATTCAAAAACTCTCCAAAATTAGCATTTATTACTCTAAAACATAACAGTCTATATAGCAAGTATAATTTGTATTTATTTTAACTCAGAAGATAAAAAATTACCTACAATTTTATGGTTGAACTATATTATAAACATTTTGTTGCATCAAAATTGTAAACAAGCCGAAAATTCCGGGAATAGGCAGTGAACATGTTTGTTTTAAGTTTTGCATCAAAATTGTAAACAAGCTAAAAATTCCGGAAATTGGCAGTGAACATGTTTATTTAAAGTGTTTCACTTATCAGTTGTGTGAGAAAAATTTCAAAATGCCAAATTTTTCAAAAAATTATGAAGATTCTCGGAAATCTGTCTGTGTCTTGTGTCTAAAGAAGTGCTCTCGAGAGTTGACACAGTTCCTTGTTGAAAAGATTCTCAAGCATTACCATACAAGTCTTGATTTGACTGATACCAGAGTGCCAAGAGGCATTTGTGACTCATGTCGAACAATTCTTTGGAGAAAAGATGAAGGAAAAGATGTTAACCTGCCACCTTTGTTTCCTTTCTCATCTATAAAAGTTAGACCACCAACAAGAGATCAAGGTTGCAACTGTCTTATTTGTTAAGTTGAACATTTGAAGTTGATTGAGAAGAGCCCAGTGGGCTATTCTAAACCTGTGGAAGATTGTACCCCTCAAAGATGTGGTGATTGTTTGAGTCTAGTTGAAAGAGGTCTGCCACATCAGTGCACTCCATTCACTTTTAGAGAGAATCTCAAACAGCTAGCTACAGCTGATCCACTCGCTGCAGAGCAAATAGCTACTCAAGTCATCTCTACTAAATCTTCCACACCTGGTGGTACTGTCAAAATATTGCATCCTAAAGGCGGCTCACCTCTTAGAGTTAAAACAGGTGATACTTTTATATATACATATAAAGATGGCAGGTTCAGAGGGAATACCTTTAATTTTAAAACTTAAAATTACAAAAAGTATTAATATAATTTTAGGAAGCTCAAGTGCAAGAGCTCTTTTTCCTGAACCCAGCATCAAAACTGAAGATCTTGTACAAAATCAGCTAAACACAGGACTGTCCAACCTTGACATGAAGAAATTGGCATAGACCATCAACAGAGCCAGTGACACCAAGATTGTGAAGACTAGTTTTCTTGCTAAGTTTGAAGCCATTGGATAACAGTTGTCTGAGTTTTTTACACAAACCAGCATCCAAGTTTTATCAGAGAGTAACTCCACTGACTTTGCGGATGTGCATTGCAAGGATCTTGCCGAGCTTTTGAATGAAGTCCTGCTTTCTCGAAGAGTTTTTCAGAATCATATTGTCACGTTGGGAATTGATGAAAGTGGAGGATTTCTGAAAGTTTCTCCTGACATCATGGAGTTGGATTCTCACTGTGATTCAAGGTCACCACCACAGAAAAAACTTTTAACTCAGAAGACTGCCAAAGACAGTAGTGTAAAGCGTCAAATGCTTGTGGCTTTATCAGAAGGACTACCAGAAAAGGCAGATCTTGTCCTTAATCAAGTTAGACAAAGTCAACTTTGTTGTCTCATGCGACATGAAACTTGCCAACATTCTTTGAGGCCTTCAGAGCCATGCAAGTACTCACCCTTGCTCTTGGTGCAACACAGAATCAAAGCATCTTTCTCAATCAGGATCTTTGAGGACACTAGACTCACTTGTTGCCGGTTATCAAGAGTTTGCTAAGTCTTGTGGTGATATCAAAAAGGCAAAATCTTTTGGCAATGTAGTGCATAAGCCTTTGCTTTCTGGTTCTGAAAACAAACTCATCTTGGAGCTCATACCACCAATGGAACTCCATCTTCTCCTTGGTGTGGTCAATCACATGTACAAAGCCATGACAGAAGTTTGGCCCAATATTGTCAAGTGGCCCTCAGCTCTCCACATTTAACAAGAACCATACTATGGTGGGCAGTTTGCAGGGAATGCCAGTCACAAGCTTCTCAGCAATCTTGACCTCATTTCAAAGAAATGCAGAGACTGAGTCTGCTTTTCAAGTCTTTGGAATCATTGATGCCCTTCGAAAGTTTAAGTCTGTGGTGAAAGCATGTTTTGGTATGGTTCTGGAGGATAACTTTTCTGAAAAAATTGATCGCTTCAGAGACTCATATTTGGCAATCATGAACATCAGTGTGACTCCAAAAGTTCATGCTGTTTTTTTCCATGTGAAGCAATTCATTGAGATCAAAAGGGCTCCTTTGGGGATCTTTAGTGAGCAGGCAACAGAATCAATGCATCATAATTTCAGCTCACATTGGCAGAAATACAAAAGAAACCACAATCATCCTGAGTATGCAAAGAGGCTTCTTTCATGTGTTGTGGACTACAACAGCAAGCACTTGTGAAGAATCAAATATTGAGAAGAATTTATTTTATGTACCATTTGCTCTTTATGTGTTTAGAATCAAGAGGTTGTTTTTGTGTTTAGGCTTAGAATAACTAAAAGAATTATTTAAGAAAGTGTTTATTATTTCCATTTTGTTATTGAAAAACTATATCAGTTGTGTCAGAATAAACTATTATTCAAGTGAATTTTAGACAGTTATGTTTTGGAGAAATAAATGCTTATTTTGAAGAGTTTTTGAATGCTGTAAAAATGCAAAATTTGAAAAGTTGTCATTTTGCCCTATTGGGCAAAGTACTAAAAACTAAAAATCAAAAATGTTTTTTTGGACGAAATAGTTAAATTTCAAATTTTACATTTTTGGAGTCAGGAAACATTGTAGGTTCACCCTGTCAAAGCGGTTTTCTCGGGTCAGCTCAAAGTAGTTTTTGGTCATTTTTTACAACAGTGATATATATATATATATATATATATATATATATATATATATATATATATATATATATATATATATATATATATATATATATATATATATATATATATATATATATATATATATATATATATATATATATATATATATATATATATATATATACATATATATTCTCATAAAGCAATTAAAACATCACACTAATTCTTTTTTTTTTATTCCTGTTATTTTAGCTCATATAGCGAGAGCCATTATCAAACTAATATAATTATTTTGGTAAAACAAAAGAACCACTCAATGTAGTTAAGGTACTTTCCAAGAAATCACTTTCAATCAGATATTAGTTTAAACAATCAAGATTTTTCCGTAAAATATCTGTTCCGCAAGATAAATAGTAATATTATTTAAAAGGAAAACACTAATAATCTTACTGCCATTAACCCTAACCCTGACCTATCCCTGATTTTACTGAGGAATAAAAGCTTTTAAAATTTATTTAAAATGTAATATGCTAATCAAAACTTTATATTTAATATAATTTAGTATAATTTGATATAGGTGCAGATGAAAAAACTTCTAAATGAATCTTATCAAATAAATCAAACAAAAAGCAGTTTGTTGTTAGTTGAAATTCTAAACTCTACTCTTTCATAGAAAATGTAGTGAAGTTCGGTGTTGGTCATGGAACGTATGAATCCATTACTTTTTAAAATTAATATTTATGACCTACTAGGTGCATTAGAATTTGACACTGTCTTACAATATGTCTGTCTGACAATACAATAATGATTGAAAAGACTGACACCATTGAACTGTTACAAGAAATATGTTTCAGGGGATTAGTATTTGGTTTTTAGCAAATGGACTATCACTTCATCCTGAAAAAACAAACATAATGATATTTGGTAACGAAAAAAGTATAAAAGTAAAATTACAATGGCTCAAGGTTACGTAATTTGGAGAACATTATAAATAAAGAAGCCTTAACATTCTTGATATTTTTTGGGACAACAAAATGAATCACAATATAGTACAAAAATCAAAAAAAGGTGTCTACCTACTTTTAATATGGTTTAATATGGTTTCTAAATGTCTCAATATCGGTTGTGGAATGTAAAATTTTGTTTAATTTTTTTCAAGAATCCATATCGGCTGTCAAAATTTGGGAATAAGGAAGACACATTTTATTAGGTACTATTTAACGGTCATCACACTGAATGGCTAGGCTTTAGTGTCAGTAAACTTTAAACACTTCTAATAGTTTACGTACAACTTTAAAAAAAAATGTTGTTTTAGGAAAACAACTTTTAGCTTTCTCAATCTCTAACACAAATAGTAAACTTTCTAACTTGCTTTATACACATCGAATCATTTACTTTCTCTACTTAACTTATGTATTGTTTCTGATCCTAATCAGTGCTCAGTTTCTCCACATTCACATTTAATTGCTTTGGATCATGGTTTGATTTCTCTAAAACTATTATTTCATTATTCTTCATTATCAGAATCCCCCTATCATTGTACTTCTTACAACTACCTTAACGCTAACTAGGACACTTTCTGTAATTGTCTTTGTTATGGCCCTTGGGTGGAAATATTTTGTCTTTCTGCTGACAAATATGCTTCTTATGTAACTTCTTGGATTCATGCTTGCATGGAATCTTTTATTCTCTCTGGACCATTCAATGTCAAGTTCTTCATGTTTTTTCTCTCGTTATGCTGCTGCAATTTCCAATCGGAACCATTACTTCCATATTTATTGCCAAAGCAATTCTCCAAAAAACAAATGTTTGTTTACTATTGCTAGAAAACATTGTAAAAGGTTTTTGTCTAACGCAAAAGCTTGCTATTCTCAGGTCACAAAATCTCGTATTTTATTTCAAAATTTAGGCTCCAGAGACTTCTGGAGAATCTAGCAGTGCCTATAAGAGCAAATCTGTTATTCCACCTCTCTTGCATGGTTCAGATTTTGTTACCTCCCCTAAAGATCTAAGGTTAGGTTGTTTGCTGATGATACTATTATTTATTCTTGTCTTGATAAGAAGGCAACATTCTCTAACTTCTTGGAAGCAAATATGATCTTACTCTTATAGTAATTGTTTGCAATCTTGTTGCAAGGGAAGATATTAAAAAAAAATCACCAAAAGTATTAATATTATTGTCGAAGATTTAAAGAGAAAGAGGATTGTCAATTTAATCAAAAATTTTGTCTTATAGAGTGTTGTCTTGAAAAAAGGAGAACTATAAGGAACGAAGAGAAAGATAATAGAGTGTAGTGGAGCTAAATGAATGTTCTCAAAAAAATGTTGTGAATCAAGGGGTAGTACCCATTAATACTGAGATCTGACAAAAGAAAATCCAAATTTAAGTTGGTGTCCTTAAGAGCAAGCAGATCCATAGAATTTTGCAAAAGGTAAGATTAACTGATGGAAAGTTGCTTCTGAGCCCACAAGTATTTGTGAAAAATTAATTAAAACAGATAGATGGTGCTGATGGTTTTTTATGTTTATTATTTTTGGTTACTTTGGATTTAACTTTAAAAAGAATTTAACTCATCCATAGATATAGCACGGGATCCCAAGCAATGAGTTATGGAGTTGCCTCAGTTCTGCTAAGTAAGCAAATTTGTAACTTAAGGGTCGTCTATAAATTAAGTAACGCTTTAGAAAAGGGGGTATTGGTTTTGTGACAACTCATATAGAACTGGTTTCTTTGTTGTGACGAGGAGGGGGATCTAAAATGCTAAAAAATCGCATGACAGAATTTGTGGATGACCCTTTAGGGCTCCTTATGTAGCCTCAACAATTTACATGAAAAGCACTAACAGGGACAACATACAAACGCAAAATGTCACTGTTATTACTCTGATACTTTACACCTGGTAATGGAATCAGCTTCTTTAACACACTAAGTCACCTCCAACAATATAAAAGGCAAAATCATTATATATATATATATATATATATATATATATATATATATATATATATATATATATATATATATATATATATATATATATATATATATATATATATATATATATATTTATATATTGTTGTTTATTATTGTATCTGGTTGAGATACAAATCCTCTTGTTTACTTGAGAGAGATCAATATAATGTAAAAATAATTTTTGCAAAATATTTTCTACAAAATAGATCAATATATATATATATATTTAAATAAAGTGTAATTAAATAGAAAAATACAACTTTACAATGGAACTAAAAGTTTCATGCCTATCGGCAATCTTCAGCCATATATATTATACAAATCAAAAAAAAACCGTTAAAAAAAATACAAAATACAAAATCAGCAGTAGAATGAGTACCAACGTCAAAACAAAACGAATAAAAAACGAATAAAAAAGAAGCATAGTTGTAAAACTGCTAATCGCCAGTGTCAAATTGGGCAAGAAGAAATTTGTTTTTATGCCGGCACTTATATAATATTTCATTCTTTTTATTTAACAAATTTGGGTGTTTAAAAAATAAAATTTCGTAGTTTTCGTTTAAGTATAAGCAACATCGTTTTGTTACAGGGTTATAGGCACTGTTTAATTATTTTCCACCTAACAACCGGGTTTAAGTTTTTATCTTTTAATCTCCAAACTTCCTTTGATAATTCAGTGTCATTTTTGTATTTGAAAATTTTAAAAGATTTTATGTGATTAGCATATCTAATTTTAAAAGATGTTTTGCTTATGCCAATGTAAAATTTATTGATGGGAGTTTGAACAAGATTGTTTGAGCATACATTAGCTTGATATACTATATTTTATGTTAAGCATTGGTTTGATAAAGGGCAGGTGTTTTTATCTATGCAATTGCAATTATTTTCAGCTGATTCTTTCTTGTTGTTTATAACATGGCGATTGTGGGCGTTTAAAACGGATTTCATATTAGACATACAGCTATAACTTACTTTTAATGTGTTTCTGTTAAAAATTTTGTGCAACTTGTGATTTTTAGGGAAGTGCTTATCAATTAATGTTAAAAATATTTTTCCTATATTCGTGCTAACGTTTTTGCTATAAGGCGGGTTGAACCAGATGATGTTACGTTTACGGTTCTTAGTTTGAGATAATATTAAGTTAGGTTGGTAAGAAAGATTGTAATTAAAACCGGACTTTTTTAATGCTTCATTATACATTAGAGTGGATTTTTGAAAGATTTCCTCGCTTGACGAATTTGCTGATAATCTTAATTCAATATAAATGTGGGAGTTGCTTTAAAATACTGGATGGGTGGTTTGATTCAGCATGAATGTAATTTAAAGAGTTTTCGGGTTTATAGTAAGGTTGGTAGGTGTGGTTGTTGAGGTTTAATGTAATGTCCAGATAATTTACGATTTTTATGTTACTATTTCAAAGTTCTATCTTTGGTCTTATTTTGCTTTTTATCTACAGTTATGATCTTTCTGACAACCTTACCATATGATTAACCTATAATTTTTTATGTCTTTTGTCAATTTTTTTCTTGCTTTCTTGATCTATTCGTTGTTTTCTATCAACTCCAAACCTAATAGTGGTTGCTTGCAGCTTTGTAGGTATTGAATTAGAATTAAAAATAAATGTAGGAAGTTCAGTAACATTTTTTATTTAAAAATTCAAAAAGACAAATATTTTTTGTTATTCTGTATGCAAAATTATGTGGGTCAATTAAGTGAGCTTTTTGACTAACGCCCAATTTTTTCAGAATATATAAATAATAGTTTTTGATTGCTAGTGTGGTTATTTTCTACTTCATTATTATTATTATTATTATTATTAAGGTTTACAAATTGGATTTGTATAGGCATGAAATGCCTGTCAACCTGTCTTATGATTACTATATAAATATACTAGTCATAAATTGTTTTTTCTTCTTTTAGATAATTGTCGAGTTTGTTTTTAAAATTGCTTACGGAAGTAGCATTTACAACGTCATCTGGGAGGGAGTTCCATTTGTTGATTACTCGTAAGGTGAAAAAGTATTGACGAGAAGCTAGACGAGAATAAGGTTTTTCTAGTTTAAATGAATGTCCTCTTGTAATAGAATTTATAATTGTTTTTGGAAAGATCGTTTGACAGTTGTAGTAGTTGTTTAGCCATTTATAGACGTTTATTAAATCAGCCCGGATTAGTCTGTATCTTATGGTTGTCATATTAAGTTTCAATAGTCTTTGGTGATATGTTAGACTTTTTAATCCATGAACTGATTTAGATGCTCTTCTGAGTATATTTTCAACTTGTCGTTTGTCTTTCAGTAGACGAGGGTTATATACAGAACCACAATATTCTAAATATGGTCGTACTAGTGCTGAAAACAGTCTTTTAAAACAAAATGAATTTAGATAAGAGAAAGATCTTTTTATTAGAAATAGCATCTGCATTGCCCTATTAACTTGAGTAGAGGTATGTTTAGAAAATAGCAAGTTATTATCGATATGTACTCCGAGGTCAGTTTCTGAGTTGGTAGATTTGATATCAATCCTTGTTTTCTTCACTGGATCGTACATAGAATAGACAAGATGTTTATTTTTATGACCTAGGTGTAAAACTGAACATTTTTCTATATTAAATTTCATCCCCCATTTAGTTGCCCAGTCAACCAAGATATCAATATCATTTTGAAGTACGGTGTGTGAATGCAAATTAGTAATAGGGTAAAATATTTTTGTATCGTCAGCAAAAAGTGCTGCATTTGAAGTAATTATATTGGGAATATCGTTAACGTATATAATGAATAATAGAGCTGAGAGAACAGAACCTTGGGGAACTCCACTTTTTACTGATACCCAATCAGAGTAATTACCATTTATCATTACTCTTTGTCTTCGATTTGTGAGAAAGTTTCTTATCCAAGAGAGAATTGGACCATTAATCCCATAGGCTTTTAGTTTCAAAAGAAGATAGTCGTGTGGGACTTTGTCAAATGCTTTTTCAAAGTCAAGGTAAATATTATCGACGGGAAGACCTTTATCTAAATTAAGTGTCCATGTATTGATTACAGTAAGAAGATTTGTTTCACAAGAGCGCCCTGGATAAAAACCGTGTTGACTAGGAGTTAGTAGATTATTTTTTAAAAGATGAATAAAAATATGTTTTTGTATTATTTTTTCAAATATTTTGACTATAGTGCATGTTAAACTAATGGGTCTATAGTTGGTAACTAGTTTCTTGTCTCCTTTTTTGAAAATTGGAATGATATTTGCATCTTTCCAGATTTGTGGTAATGTACTAGTTTGAAGTACCTTAGTATAAATAATAGAAAGATGTTTAGAGATTTGGTGATGGGTTTCTTTTAATATTTTGGGATGTATCTCATCTGGACCCGGTGATTTAAATGACTTTATAGACAGAAGATGAGATGCAATGTTTTCAGGAGATAGATCAAGATTATTAGAGATTTGACTGGGACAAATAGAAGATAAGTTAAAACTTGGAACAATCAATGTATCATTATCAGAAAAATTACTAGCAAAGTAATTATTGAAGCATTGAGCCTTTTCAAGATCGGTGGTAGCAACTATCTTATTGTGGACTATTTCAGGAATGAGATTTTTTATAAGATTTTTTGATTTTATGTATGAAAAAAAAGCTTTAGGATTTTTGTTGATGTTTTTAGCAATTTCTTTTTCAAAATTTATTATAGCATTTCTGCAAGCTGCTTTAGTTCTGTTACGCGCTCGACAATAGTCAAAGTAAGTTTTACCATTCCGTTTATGAATGTAGTCTTGATATTTAATTTGTTTATTTCTTATTTCTTCTGCTACTTGGGCGGTTATCCATTGTGAACGCTTTTTAGGTTTTGTTGAGGATTTTGGAACATTTTTTTTAATAGTGTTTTTAAGGTTTGTGTAGAATGTATCCCAAAGTTGTTCTGAATTATAGTTTTGATTTAACACTAAGGTTGATAGATCTTTGTTAATTTTATTATAGTTTCCTTTAGAGAATAATTGCTTATTAATAGTATGAGTTGGTTTATCTATTGGATCGGTTAGTACGGTAAAGTATAAAAGGTGATGATGACTTTTTCCAATTGGAGCAAGGTGGGTTATTGGTGAAATTATGTTTTCCACGGATGTTATTATAAGATCGATAGTAGTTGGTTTTTGATTTTTTCTGAAGTGGGTTGGTTTAGATATATGTTGTGTGAGGAAACAATTGCGGATTGAATTTATGAATTTTAAAGATTTTGATGAGTGAGATATCGGGTTTCCTTTTTTGTTAGACCAAGTTATATCTGGGTAGTTAAAGTCTCCAACAATAAGGATGTTTTCGTATTTTTCAGAAAGATTAGTTATGTGTTGATTTATATAGTTATCATTTTCGTCATTGCTATTTGGAGATCTGTAGAATGTTGTTATTAGTAGCTTAGAATTTTTTGTTTGAATTTCACAACTAATTGATTCTGATGCAATGGTATCAAAGGTAACCAATGACAATTTTAACGATATATGTACAAATATTGCTACACCTCTTTGACATGATTTATTATTGTGATTTGATAGTGTTATGTAGTTTTCTATAGTAATTTCTTGATCACCGCACATTGATCGGCAATTTTTAGGCAAAGTTTCAGTAAGACAAATGAGATGTGGTTTAAGTTTTTGAACAATGAAATTTAGTTCTTGGCGTTTGTTTAAAATCGAATCAATGTTGGTATAAATTAATTTTAGTGATTTGATTTGTGTGAGCTTGTTATTTTTATCAGATTTGAAGGATAACCATTTATTTATTTGTTTAATATTATTTAATGTGCTTGCTAAAGTTGAGTTTAACAATTTTGTTGCGCCTGATGCACCATCGAAAGGGCGAGTTTGGTTCATTTTCTAAAAGCTGGTGGTTTTTATTCTTTTTTTCTTTTCTTAATTCAAAATCTATTAGCCTTTCTGCTGGTGTCATATCCGGGTTTAAATAAACATTTTTATAGTTGTCTTTATTTCTTAATTCCCTAGACGCGAATAGAACTTTATTGCGTTCACAGTTTTCAGGAAGTACAGCAATAATTGGAGATGGATTTTTTGAAACTTTTTTTTTTTTTAGCCTAATTAATTTAATCGGTTTTTCATTGCTTTTGCCAATGTAATCAAATATTTCATTGACCATTAATTTATCATCATTTATTGTATCTGATTCATCTGTTTTACTCGATTCGGGAATTCCAAAGATTATAATATTGTTTTCTCGCTTTTTTTTATTTTCCTGTTCTGATATTATTGAATTTGCGATGGTGTTTACAACAAGTGATTTTTCCGTGGATGTAGTTTTCGTTGAAAATTTCGACCAAAAATTAGCAGATTCGTTTACTGTTGGTTGTTTAGATTCAAGGAATTCTATTCTTTTTATTAAATTTTTTATGGTTTCTTGCTGTTCTCGTACTATATCAGATAATTCTGAACAGCTAAGTTTTCCTTGTTTCAACATATCGTTTTATACGATAAAACTTTTGTTAATGTTTTTCAAACTATTGTTTGTAATGTTAAATTATGATAGTTTTCGCAGTTTACGCAAGGACTTATTTACGCAATAAAACAAGAGTTAATAGTGCGTTTTTTCATGTGATTTTGCATTTACAAAACCATTTAATCAAGACTTTTTTATTTACACATTTAATGAAATCAATTTCTATAATTAAAACTGCAAAGTATTCAAAATAAAACATGCAGATACTTTTAAGCCTTAGTTTGCAGGTTTTTAGATTTTGTTCCACGCTTACAATAATTATTATTAAGTTAAGGGATTTGAACTATGAAATTTTTAATAATCACTATTAAATAATTAAAAAATATATTAATAATACCATTACCATGAAAATCAAATTAAAGTTCATTATGTCAATAAAAAAATTTTATCTCATGTTTCTTTATTCTCTTTTTGAAGCCTAAACGGCTCTGTTTTTTTTTAAGGATTTGAGTTACCTTTATGAACAATCTAATTAAAAGCAATCTTGCTCCCTAAATAAGCAATCTATTGCAATTATGATTTTCTTAAGTCTTGATGTTCCAAGCTAAACCTTTTGTCAATTTTCTTAACCCATTACTATACTTCTGAATTCTAAGTAATTTATTTTTGCCCAAATCCGTCTTTTTTGCACTTAAAAAAAAAGAAGGAAAAAATGTTATTCTTTTTTTTTTTATTTATATAATACTTAGATTATATAATTTTATATTTAATTGTTAGTTAACCTTCAGGTTTTTTATGCTTTGTGTTTTTTTAGAAAATTTTTATACATTAAAACTATAAACGCTGGCAAGCAGTTTTTAATTAACAATGCAAATGGTAATTTACATCAAAATAAAGTTTATCATTAGTTTTATACTTTATTATTTATTTACTTAACAAAGAAAAGTACAATGATAAAAAAAAAATTTAAAGATCAGATTTTGCAAAGTTTAGTAACTTGATCATGTCTTAAAACTGTTCAAAAAGTTTATTTTTGTTTTATGAAAGTAAAGAGATTTTTATTTTTTTTCAGTTTTCTGTCTAATTTTTTATATTTTATGTTCACGTAAATTTAATTTTAGGTTACCTGCACAGTCAAGTTGTTTATTATCTCATGAATATTCACACACAAAAGCGTTCTCTCTATATAACTGCTGTAAATTTTATTTTTTATTTAAATTCAAAATAAATTTTTCTTGCAAATGTTTTTAAAATTAATTTTTGCATAGCACGGAGAATGTGATTACAATGTAAAACAAGAGCTTGGTGGAATTTCTGGCCTAACTAAAACTGGGAAGCTGGTAATTTTAAAATATTTAATAATCATTGTTTATCTTTATTATCTGTTTAAAATTTTTTCATCATTATAATACAGGTATAAAGGTAGTTTTTTAATCTGCCAGTTAATTGGCTCGTTCTTTAACTAGAAATATATCCCTTTTATTAATACCCTAAATTATTAGTTTTACCAGTATATGCAGCTTGCTTTTTACATGATTAACATAAAGTTAAACTTTTGCAGTTACATACAGAATATCGGTTTTTTATTTAAGTAGTACCATTAGATATTTCAAAGTTATCTACCTCATGAAGATAAAGTTTGCAAATTTTTCACAAAATATTTATTCATTTTTATTGTTTACTATAATTGTTTATGAATATAGTCTTCCTTTATTTTAATTTTAATAAATTTATAATATGTTTTTAATTGTAATTAAGACCTTCTTTTTTTTTTTTTTTTTTTTTTTTTTTTTTTTTTTTTTTTTTTTTTTTGTAGCCTTTTTTTTGTGTGTAGTTTTTAAGAATAATTGCTGTCTAAAAAGTTAAACTGTAGATGTACTTATTTTTTGCAAATATATGTGAAATAAAATTTCTTTATATATTTATTTCTTAAAAATATACCGAGGTGAGATTTTCTTAAATTTTCAAGTCAAAGGCCTGATTTCAAAAGGCCTGATAGCAAGACATATTAAAATCAAAAGTGTACAAATGAGATAAAACAAAGTATAAAATAAAGTCAAATAGTTTTTATATAATTTTAAAAACTCACATATGTCATTAAAAAATCACATATATCCAGAAATTAATGACTAGATAAAAAAGTCTAGCTCTTCACATATTGAAACAAAATCATCAAAAGATCTTGAAGCTATATCCAATATTGTTGAAATTAATTCAGTGCAGTATGGTTTTAAGAGAAAATGTCACCTTGAATAAAATTTATTTGCAACATAGATATTAACTCATCACCATATTATGAAATAAGAAGATGGCAAGTTAATTCCAACAATATTGAATATTGATAATTTCATTTCAATATGTGAAGAGTTAGAATTTTTTATCTAGTCATTAATTTTTGGATAACATATGTGAGTTTTCAATGACTTATGTAAGTTTTAAGAATTATATAAAAACGATTTGACTTTCTTTTTTTTATCCTTTGTTTTATCTCATTTGTTTAATTTTGATTTAAATGCTTAAAACAATTTTTTCAGGATTCAAACTTAATCTCTATATTTTGTAACAGAAAAGTTCTGATAAACAAGTTTGTTGATATAATTTGTTGAATCCAAGGCCACCTCGGTATACTAAAAGTTACTATACACTTTATTATACCAGTTTTCTTTTACTTGTAAAATATTTGCGGACCGACTTGATGATTTATTACTTACATTATATTATTGAATTAAGTAATTATATGAATAAAATGAATAAATAATTAAAAATTTTTTATATATTTTATCAGTTTACATATACGCTAGAAAATAAGTACAGTAGAATCCCGTTGGTCAGAAATATTATAGTCTGACATCTGACTCTCGGTAGGTATAGATAGTTCAAGGGGAACTTAAAATTTGTCCGACTTAGTAATAATCTTTTAAAAGTCTATTTTTTTTACTTTTACTTAGTAAAAATAAATGAGTCAAATGGATTCTACTGTATATATAAATTTAACTTACTTATAGTTCAAAAACTGTTCGTGGCCGAGAGGATAAAGCAATTCCTCGCATGCTAAAGACTCGAGGTCCAACTCTTAACGTTGTCATTTTTTTGTAATAAGTTTTTAAAATCTTGTATATACTTTAGTCAGTACATAGGTTACTAATACAAAGAGATATCGCAATACGGTAGAAAAAATCCAGAGGGCAATCAAGTTTATTACAGGTTTGCAGAAACTGGTAAAAAAATTGACAAAAAAATTGAATGAAGGAGTTTTTGTCAATAGGCAATGTCTGAATAACTAGCGCTCCTAAAAGGCGCCCAGCGTATAAAAATTGGTGGACCAGCAGGGCCCCCAATTTTAAAGTGTATATTAATTTCTATATAAATTCTATACATATTGCATATAAATGCTTTTTCTTCAATCATTTTTTTAGGAATGGGGCCGTAAATATTTTTCAGCATCTGGCCCCAAAGAACCTTAATTTGGCCTAGTCTATTGCTCAATAAATGTGTCAATACATGTACAAAGTTACCATGTATTGACAAGTTATCTAGATTATCACACATTTTTAAATTATATCCCACTCACAATGACTTTACAAAGTTAGTATTTTGCCATTAAAGGTTTGGGGACAGACAGACATAAACCAAAGCCATGAGTCTATGTAGATACTCTACGCTACGTCTATTTAGTCAATACATGCACACCCGCTGCCCTTATCCCTAATTAATTTGTTGTAAAAATTTACTTATGTATTTAAATCATTGTAATTCGTATATAAGAAGTTTCAGACCTTTTACTAGAAGAAGTAGACTTTAATACAATCAATGACAAAAACGATGATGACACATCAGACAACGATATTGATCGATTTAATGAAAACTTTAATATAGATGTAGAAACTGATGAATATTAGAATTAAGAATAACAATAAAAGAAAATCTTTTATTTAAAAACTAAAAATAACTTTACTGAAAACAAAAAAAAAATTATTCAATGTGGTTTTTTTCTTAAAAATTACTTTGTTGACCTTTTAAAGTAACTTTGGGAGGGTGGGAGGTCGTCGGCATAAATAACTTTCTTTTTCCGCCTCGAACATTAAATATTTTTAAAGACAAGTTTTTTTTATTTTAAGGATAATTATAATTATTTTAAACTAAGTTTTGATATAGTATCTAAATAATATAGTTTTGATTTAGTGTTTGAACCAAAATCTAAATTAAATAGCCCTGTCGCACAGTGGGGTATTTGATCAATTTAGGCAGCCAAAACTGAATTTTTCAAAACTCGAAAACAAAAGCATAAAATTATTTTACTAAAGCTGAATAGTCAGTGAGTATTCAAAACTTTAACTACTGAACAAAAGTTTTAAACAATAAGCCATAGGATATATACAATACTGATCAATATTTATTTTTGATTAGTTTTATAAAAATAATAATCATGATCAATAAAAAATATAAAATAGTTTTTAACAGAACACTTAAAGAAAAAATAGATTTTTTTTCTCTCTCATTATTTGCTAAAAATAGCAAATAATGAGAGAGAAAAAAACTAAAATAACACTTGCACAATTTTCCTTTCAGATAAATTTGTATTTTATATAACAATTTAAAAGGATCTTGTATTATTCTCACAAGGTCAGGGCTATTGCTAGGTTTTTGTCGCTCCAAAAAAGCCATCTTTTTTACAATTTGTCTGGAATTTCTGCAACCCTATAATAAAATTGTTGGCCGTCAATCCTATTAAAAACCTGATACCCCTCATGACTACTCTGTCTACTCTGCCTCAACGTCTCCGCTTCTAAATATGACAATGTGTCAACATATTTCTTGGTTTAGCGTCACAATGTTTCACATATAGAATTTAAGGATTTTATAGATTGTGATGTCTCTATGTAAGATTTTAACCAATACTTTTCCTTAAAAATATGTAATTTTTAATCTTTTTACTTGAATATTATCAATGAATATGAAAGGCATTTCGTTTAAAGTTCTAATTTCATCATTTTAAGTAATAAAGTAATGTTATTATGCAATAAAAATAAATTTGACATATATTAGGAAAGAAGTCTGAGTATAGAGCCTCGTGGCAAGCCATAAGTAATGTTTAGTAGAGTTTCATGTGATTTAGGGTCTGTGCGCGCATATTGAGCACAGATACTTGGCGTCCTATGATTCAACCGAATCCCTAATTTCAATTTAGAACCGAATATGAGAAATTTATTACACAACCGAAAATATTTACGAAAAAAAGTAGAACCGAAAAAATTTCAATCGAATTTTCGATCGAAAGTCATTAATGATTTTAGAACCGAATTTCATTAAAATGGTTTACAATCGAAAGTTACACTGTTATCACACATTGTATATATATATATATATATATATATATATATATATATATATATATATATATATATATATATATATATATATATATATATATATATATATATATATATATATATATATATATATATATATATATATATATATATATATATATGTATATATATATATATATATATATATATATATATATATATATATATATATATATATATATATGTATATATATATATATATATGTATATATATATATATATATATATATATATATATATATATATATATATATATATATATATATATATATATATATATTTTAAAGAAATTTTAATTGTTTATTTTATTGTAAAACGACTAACTGGAAAAGAAAAAAAAAATAGAATAAAAAAAGAAAGGATTTTGTAATTCGATTCTGCAATGAAAGTATATTTTTCGGTTCTAAATTTTTCGGTTGTGGAATATTTCGGAGTTATTTTTGAGGATAAATATTTTCGGCTCTATCATGTGACACGGAATAACTTAAATAACCTTTAATTTTATTATTTTACAACTCAAAAGTATTATGATATACTTTTTATAAAAAGTAACCACAAAAAGATAAAAAATAACTTGATTTAAAAAAGCATTAAAACATTTAATTACGCCAGATAGTGAACGATAACAGCAACTCAAAAGTATCTATAATAGATACTTTTGAGTTGCTGTTATCGTTCACTATCTGGGCGTAATTAAATGTTTTAATGCTTTTTTAAATGAAGTTATTTTTTAATAAGTAACCACAAAAAGAAATTCAGAAGTTATTTAAATAATTGTGCTCAATATGTTGGCACAAAAAATGTATACTATACATTTTTTAAGTTATTATTTATCATTAAATCCTCTTTATATTCATCAGAAGCAGTTAAGTCAAGCCTTTAAATAAACTGCACGTTTTATTTTTAGTTCAACATTAAAGCGCAGTAAAAAAAACGTAAAATTTTGATTCGGAATTTTAAAATAAATA